TTTTTGCAAGGGAGAGTGTGGCAGGCAGCAGGACATGGAAGAGCTTCTGATTTCCTAACATCTCGGAATGAAGTCGGAAATATTTTGAAGCCACAAGGTGGCAGCACACGGGGAAAGCAAGAGCAGCTCTACCAGACCCGGCGAAAAGGTGGGAACACATAGAGCTTCACAAGAATTAAAAACACCACGGAATACAAACCAAAATGAAAAGAGATGAGGGCTGGGGTGGGGGGGCTTAAAGGATCCCTTCCATCTACCGTTCCAAGAGGACCTATCTTCTTATAGTAAGGTAATCACATTTATCTGGTAGATTTGCTCTTCTCATAGGGATTTTACAAATTCCCAAAATAATCTATTTCAGTAATCAAATATCCTCAGAAAGCAACCTGTCCCATCTGCACGGGAAGTGATCTGCATCTGCATACAGTGCTACAGGTGGTGCTTCACCTGGGCCAAGCAAAACAGCTGCCTCTGTGGTTTATGTACGGCTTTCTTGTTAAACACCAAAGGCAGTGTTTACTTTCTGACCTGTAACATCAGTTTGCAAATCACTAACGCTTTATTTACACCTTCAGATTACTTTCTGCAATGGTACTATTTAGCTGTTGTTCCATTACAGCTTGCTCCCTCTTGCAGAGTTTTGCACTTGGTTTTATTTTATCTTCCTCTTTACATAAAATCGATAAGATTCAAAAGATTACTTCCATTTCCAAACATGTTTTTTAAAATACCTGTGGCATGTCCTGTCAGGTTACTGCAACAAGTGCTCCTGGCTCCCAGCAGCAGGCACCTGCTGACCAGTAGTAAGGCACTGAAGTGAGTTCCATGCATCCCTTCCCTATCCTAGGCAACTCCAGGAGGAAGGTTTTCCCAGGGACAACCAACTATCCACAGAAAACATCCCCACAATTTGATATACAGCTTTATGCTTAAGTAAATCAACATGACAGAAGACCTGCATGACAACAGGTTAACACCTTCCCTCAATTAAATTAATTTTATGAAAAATACACTGCTTTGTTATAAACCGCGTCCATCTTCTTGGCAGGGCCCTGAGCACACACAGGGCTTTGGCTGCCGGGAGCTACCTCAGCTGGCAGTGACCCAGGGCAGCTGGGTAGCCCTGGTCAGCCCCTGGGAACAGAGATGTGCACTGAACTCAGGCCGTGGTCCTCAGCCCTGCAGCTCTGTCCGCGCCTGCCCACGTCTTTCACCGGTCCTGTCCCATCCCAGCCTCAAGGCTGCACCGTCACCACAGCCCTGCCTCAGGGCCACAGCGCTGTGGCTGAGCCTGGTCACCATCACCAGTGTCACTATTTGTCTTGTTCAGGGGCTGCGGGACAAGCCCAGAGGGAGAAGGCCCCATCCCACTGCCACCACAGCATGCCCTTGCAAAGCTCTTAGATTCCTGTCTGCACGAATGTTGAGGTGGTGCAACCTTACAGAACAGTTGAGGCTGGAAGAAACCTCTAGAGATCATCTAGTGCAACCCCCCTGCTCCAGCAACGACACCTAGAGCAAGTGGCACAGGGTGGCATCCAGGCGGGTTTGGAAGATCTCCAGAGAAGGAGACTTCACAACCTCTCTGGGCAGCCTGTTCCAGGGCTCTGTCACCCTCACAGGAAAGAAGTTCTTCCGCACGTGGAGATAAAACTTCATCTGTGCTTCAACTTGTACCCATTACCCCTTGTCCTATCACTGGCCACCACCGAGAAAAGTTTGGCCCCGTCCTCTTTACATTCTCCCTTCAGGTATTTGTACACTTGATCAGATTCCCTCTCAGTCTTCTCTTCCCCAGGCTAAACAGGCCCAGCTCGCTTAGTCTTTCCTCATACGATGGATGCTCCAGGCCTTTAATCATCTTTGTCACTCTATACTAGAGCCTCCCTAGAAGTTCCACAACCCCTCTTGTACTGGGGAACCCAGAATTCCCACTGTGTTGGCAGTATTCCCAACATTTAATGCAACAACTACAGATAACAATGTAAGAAATCATCTCTGCCTAAACTAGCAACACTGAAAAGCAGGCTCAACATAATGACAAACTCTGCTGCTATCTTTTCAACTGTGCAGTAAGACCATTTTAAAACACTGAGAGGAAAAAAATACATGCAATAATTCAGACTCCAGACAACTAATTTATAGCAGTACAGCAAAGCACAAATTTGGTCTATTACTTTTAACAATTATGCAATCAAATCAAATGTAGCAGTACAGGTATGAACTTACCGCTTCACCTTTTTTATATTACCATGAAACAATTCTTTCATTCTTTCTTCTACTTTGTTTAGAAGCTGAAAAAAAACAGCAAACAGGAAAGGTGGAATTTATAGAAGTTATCACTTAATGTAGAACAGATGTTAAATTAGGCTATTTAAAAGGCAATAAAAAAGTAGCACCTGCAACAAAAGTCTTTCCATTATAACTTTAGAGGTCTATCAATAATTAGCTGGTTGCCTCAGCTTCATTCCTAGCAAATATTTCCACATCACAACAGCTGTCATCATGTTTTTTCACTTAGCTGTCCCCCTAGATAACATGACTAGACTTTTCAGACACAAGTAAAAAGGAAGAGCAAGAATCCCAGGAAGTTTTGTTCTTCTCTTAAGTGAAGGACCATACCCCCAAATTCTGAAGCTTTACCATTAGGAAAAAGACTATATTCTTCCTTTCTCATACCTTTCATACTTTTCTCATTCCCCCTTTATCTGGAGGATACTGAGATGCCCTTATACTTTTCACATGGAAGACCACGAGGCCAAGGACATGCAAACGCATATGCCCTCATATGTGCATGCAACTACACCAGGTGTTACTAGTCATCACCTGTAAAACCTCTGGTTCAGACTTGCATTAGGAGATACTTTGATCCGCCAGAAGAAAAAGGAAAGTCCCCACCTTAAGCCTAGCAGGGGAAGCAGCACCCATACCTGATCGGTCTCTTCTCTTCCTTTCACATGATCGTTGTAGCTCTGCAGATCCACCAACACTAGTCCATGAGGGTAAATTCTCAAATTGGCAAAACTACAAAACAAAAGAAAAACAGTGATAACAATTTTGTTAATTAACAAAAAATACAAGCAGAGAGGAAAGTCCTAAATGAATTACAGCAAACCAAGACTGCACATTTCTCTTTCCAGCAGTCTGTAAGCTATTAAAACTATTGATAGTTACAGCTTTATTTTTCCTCAAGAAGTAACCAAGCTTGTTGAAAGGGCATGCAAATTGCTGTATAACTAATAAAATCAGCAAGTAGCAAGTCAATAAAACAAGGCATTTAAACTAAAACGGCTGTAATGCAACAAGAGGTGAGAGGGCAGAATAGACTAGTCTCAGTTCCCTGAATGAGGCCTGCTTGAACAAATTTTTTCTTTTTAATTAAATCAAAGTTCAAGAAAAGAACTGGATATGTTCTCTCCCCCTCCATCAAGCTTCTCAGGGTAGAAGTGTAGCCAAAGCTATTACTGCACATACTATTTATTACAGCAGTGTTCAAAGATCAAAGAGCAGTGCTTCATCCTGCCAGGTACTGTGTGGCACTGCATGGCAAGTAGAGGACTTTGAGGAACCCATTTTGTTTGTTTGCAGAAGCAAAGAGGTGAAGGAAAAGACAGGCACGCCAAAAAAAAAAAAAAAGTTGCAGAGGTTGCAGCCATTTTACATTGAGGAAGAGAAAAATGCAAAAGGAAACAGGCTACAACGAAACCAGATAAAGGGAGTAACAGGAGGAGGGACATGGTGAAAAATGACAGAGGAGGGGATGGGAATAGTAAAAGTGCAGCAAAAACAAAACAAAACAAACAAACAAAAAAAACAGGGAACTGAGGAAGGGTGGGTCTTTAGCACAACACAGAGAAACCTCAGGTAAAGCTCCAAACGCTTTTCCTGAAGTCCTCCGTTCCCTGCTTTTCTGCTCTCATCACCCCACTCGGCCTCAAAGACAAGAAACAAACGACGTTGCCTTCTGGGAAGATGATTGCGATTTTTGGTAACTACAACATGATCAAGCTAAAACAGATGAAAGGGACCAGAACAACTCAGAGATATAAATGTTTTTATTGCACTGCTGAAGACCATAACTAGCTTTAATGATCTGTAGCTACGATTTAGGTTAACACGGGGGGGGGGGGGGTGGTTC